TTTGCTGAAATCCGGAGGTTGCGCGGGGTGCAAGGTCGTGTGTTGCACGCGTAGCCGGAACAATTGTCTCTCTTTCTCTCTAAATGAGTGCGTCAGATCTCATTAACTCTCAGCATACCGGAGCGGACAATGCACTGATGCTTGAACAAGTAAGGGGGTAGGAAGTGAGGCCAACCTTGTGGACTAGACCTACATATCACTCAGCGCATATCCCTTAGTCTACGGCGCTTGTAAACTATCACGGTGGGTTAATGGGCATGGCTTAGAAGGCTATCAAGTGACGAAATAACCCGATCCTCCTTTCAGGACGGACAATCGAGCAGTAGTGACTCCTAGTCAAGGTGCCTCCTGTGACGCTCCCATTCACATGGGATCCGAGCGGATGCTTGTTAATTTCTATCGAAACGCAGTCCACCGTGAATGACACACGTAGGCGCACTGTTAAGCTTCGTTTGCCGCTGCCCCCTCTTGACACATTTTAAACATCGTGCCTAAGTGGGCCTGAGAGGAGAGAGTGCGGTGGCTGCTGCGCAAGCCTTTTATCATCACGCCTAATTCCCCGGCCCTGCGCGCGCTATTCTATGGGACACAGGGATGGTATCGTCGTTCGCGACGGTGGAACTAACATCCTAGCCAAGGTTAACTTTCGTCCTGATCCCATCTTACTGCTACTGGAAGCCGAGGGAGGTAGATGCGATGTAAATATATTTAACCGCAGATAAATGTACGTGCAAGTCTTGAATTCATCTTCGTTGGAGCCCTATTGGTTGTCGAGCTGCTGGATCCTGCCTCCGGTCTCTTTATTGGCAATATCTCTGGTCACCTCAGTAGAGTAAGCTAGACTAACTGACCAACATTTAAATAGTCTGTGTCTTTTTTCTGTAGAGCCGCGACGCCGCTTTGAAATCAGTTGATGCATTAAACTGACTGTTCACGTAGGATTCTCTTAAGAATCAAGCTAGAATCCATCTGATGACTATTGTAAACACAGAATAAATAGTTCTTTCGGCATATTTGACACAGATCTAAACAGCTTTTGGTCCATAGTATATGCCATATATCGTACAAGAGACGGCAGCCATGCTTATCGCAAGCTCTTGGAATTATCCGTCGTGTGAATTAATAATGAAACTTCAATTTCGCCGGTGAGGAAGTTGACGTATAATAAAAACACTGGAACCAGAACCTCCAGTGTAGTAAAGATGACCTTGCACTAAGTTCCAAAGGGACTGGGGTTGGGGTTAGGGCGGGGCCTAAGTTAGGATTTGGGTTGAGATAAGGGTCAGTTTTGAGTTTAGGGTTAGGGTTATTGTTAGCGCTAACGCAAGAAAACACAAGCACAGAACCATCTGCATCACTGAAGACGGGATCCAAGCTCGGGGTTTTGCCTACCCAGGGATTTTGGTTGATGCCTCAGGAACTTCTGTACACAACAAGCAAAATGTGTCCCTGAAACTTCTTTGCGCATCATGCAACGACGAACCGCGGATAGCTAATAACTTTAAAATCGTGGTCTGCGAAATTATCTTCGCACCAACTGACTTTATTGTAGCCCTAAATACAGGGTTCCCTAAAAGTGTATACATATTTTAACTTTTTTGCTAAATTGGTGTCTATAATAATTTCATTATTAAATAAATGTAAAGATATTTGCAGGTATCATATTGTTCACTGAATTTTCTCAAGCTGACGTCCATTTTGATCACGAAACTGCTGTCAACGTGAAGCAATGGAATCGCACATACTATTAAAAAATTCCCTTAGTATTCGGGTGCATTTATGTTAAGTGGCTTCTTTCAATTCAGCCACTGTTGCGATAGTCAAAATGCAGTGAAGAAACAATAAAAGGATAATTTCAAATATTTTTACCTTTTTGAAATAATTAAATTATAATAAACAACAAGTTAACAATTACTGAAAATGTGTGAACATTTTTGGGACACCCTGTATGAACCTTAGTAGGCATTTTTAGATCGTGAGCAGAAGCCGCAGGAGGGGAACGCAAATGAAAGCGAGCCTGATGTATTAAGAATGAGAATGAATCGTATAATCTCCGCTGGGTTCTTCCCGAGGGTCCCACAAGCTCGCTCATATGGCCGGCTTTGTCGTAGACCTTTTTACTGCTAATGGATGTCAACGGTCGTAGGTGTAAACATTCTACAGTTTGCTGCAACTGTTTCCGTGACCGACATACCCTCAACAGCATGCGGTGCATCAAATTAGGTAAACAACTTTGCCAGCGGTCAATGCTGCTGATTTTGGCGGGAGGTGGGGGTTAGCGCTGAACTTTATGCAATGTGAACATCGTCAAAACCCCTTAACTGCCACAATGGGATTTCAAATGCGTCTTTTTTCATGCAACAAACTGACCATCTACAGCCGTTGTGTACTGGGATAGCGTTGGGCTCAATCACTGTGTTGATTACCGGCTTTCCTAACGATGCTATGAACCAAACATGCCACACTAGCTGATGGCACGCTACTGTGTTGAGTCCTCACAAGCCATACATGTGCGTGGTGGCACGCCATTGATCTTGACGCGACTAAACCCATCATCAGTTGGATAAAAGGCTCAGACCGGTGCACGAGAAAAAACAGTACAGCCGATACAGAGGAATAAATTCCCACGGAAAATCCAGAATACAGTAGAT